GTGTGTGTGTGTGTGTGTGTGTGTGTGTGTGTGTGTGTGTGTGTGTGTGTGTGTGTGTGTGTGTTTATAAAAAAGATACTATATTATTATTGTATAAATTTTCACTCCAGAAGAAAGCATTTCAATTAATCCGTTTGCAACAAACACAAACTAATGGTATTCTATAACCTACTTTGCAACCTTCGTGTAGGGCTATCTCCATGAAGCTGTCGGCGTGGCAAATATGGGGAAGGATGGGGAAGTGGCAATGAGGACATATCATGAGTCTGAAGTTTGTACCAATGAGGCTCATCATCCAGCAATGCTGTCTCTAATTCAATAAGAATCTAAAAAAAGATAATAAAATAAGAACTGTTCAAATAAAACACATCATTTGTGCTATAACTGTTTTATAAAATATGTACTATGTGATATTTGTATATTTACTTAAGTTAATGGAAACTGAACAGCTTCAAAACATAGTTTATAAGGTATATAAAAAAGATTGCTACCAGCAATAAGGCATAATGCAATGTGATGCAGTATTGTTCATTATAGAATTTACTGTACCTTTGTCCCTATGGAGATAACATTAACTATTTATTCCTTATAAACAATAAATAGCATTGACTACCTCTCCTAAAAATTCACTTTCTTCCTCACGAACACGAGCTTGGTCCCAAAGAGTAATTTCCAACATTCGCTCTCGAAATTCTCTCCGATGAACTGGAGAATAAATAAATGTTTGGTTCCACTTGGGCTCCAATGTTTTTTTTACTGTTTTTGTTCTTCTTTTATTTTTATCACTGTAATTAAGAAGTACATATTAAAGATGTTGATATTACAAAGAATTGTGAAAATAAAATATTTTTAATGGGAAGGACAATTTTAATTCCTTTTACAAAATTCCTGAAATTGGACTTTACTTCTGAAGTAATTACTTATTCCACAATATTTTTTATTAGTAGTTGCTATTTCAATATCAACTGTAGAAAATCATGATTAGTACAAATAGGATGTTGTAAACAAAATCATATGTCCAAGCCTTCTCATTTAATTATTTTATCGGTTCTGCATTTGATCCAAAATTCAAGGACATATAGGAATTTTATTGTCAAGGAAACATCATAAGGGATATTCATAAATTGCTCCCCTTCAATAGTAATTAGTATAAAAGTTATCAGTTTATGCACTGAAAAAGTTCACTAACTTCACACAAATATCTACAAATATTCTGAAAACTATCGATAGGCTACTACGCAGTACACTGGTTGAGATGCTAGAAACACATGAATATTTCCAAAATAAGCTGAACTGAATTATCAGAACAATGGATTGCCAACAGACTGATACATTATCAATAGGCATCAGATGTTATATTCTGCAGAATTGTTTTCCTTTTTCATTTGACTAAAAACCTCCACTCTACAAAAAATATATATTTTAATCAAAATAGTTATAAAACATCAGCAATACTTTTGACATGACAGATTTTAGCAGATAAATTAAAATAGTTTATAAAATAGGTATGCAAGTATTAAAAGAGTTCATTTCAAAATAATGCCTGGCAAATAATCTCAAGGACATACTATAGTAAGTGACATAAATGCTATTTGTATGTTTAGTAATGTTCAAAGGTCTGAGCCTAACTATTATGCCTAAAGCAAAATTTATTTAAAAACCCAATTTTGTACCCTGCCTTGAAACTCCCCTACTTCAAGAACCCTAACCAAAAACATAGCTCAACATTCAAAATGCAAATATTAACATGATTGTAATTGCAACAATTAAAGCAAATTGGGGATTGTAATTGCAACAATTAAAGCAAATTGGGGAATGTCAATATAGAGAAACTGCTATATTTAACAAACATTTCAACATCAACATTTAACTTTTTGATAAATAAAAATTATTTAAAATTTATTTCAAAATAATTAATCTAACACCTGTAATTCAGTACAGAGTGAAAAGCTTAGAAAAGAATTACGTATTAATTTAAGTAGTATTTTGTGGGCTTGGGGGTGAAAATAAATACAGAAGGACAAGATTGGCAATGACCAATTGGGGTACAGTAAGACTGATTTCTAATAATTAATAAAAAGGTTATGAAAAATAACTATTACTTATTAAAAAATAAGAAATATGGGAAATAGAAATCCTTTTGTCCTTCCTTTCTCTCTCTCCGTCCTCCTACAATCCCTTCTACATTTTTTCCCCTATATTTGATCTGTTCTAAAATTTGGGCAAGAATACCATAGACTCCTAGATTCTCCAGGCTTTGCTTTGGAAACTTCAGTATGTTGATAAAAGCAACAAGATTTCCCATTAAGCATCCCATCAGGCCAAAGACAGTGTTCCATGATGACTTAAAGATCTAGATGTATTATTGATTTTGGAAATTAAGCCGTATGCCTTGGAACCTGTTCAACCAGTCACTGTCCACACCAATAAGCATTTATATTGCAGGCATGATCCATAAAGACAATAATTTGAGGAAGCACATTAACATGTCCGATTTATATATTTATTTATTTACTCATTCATTCACTCACTCCTTTTGACTTAAAAGGTTAAATGAGGGATATGGTAATTATTGTTAACAGACCAGCCCTGATAAACTACTTTATTATTTAATATATTTGTACAATTATACATTATATATTATGTAGTTACATTCTGTTAGATATTATTCACAAAAATTCATTTGTAACAATACCCAATAATTTTGTTCATACTACCTTCTGTCAGGAAGAAAGTAAATCTTAACGTAGGGATTCCTTGGTCTCCCATCTTCTCTTGAAGGGAGATCTTTTGCTCCCAATATTGTGACTATTAATTGATGACCAACTTTGTCATACCACAACTTTATCTATAAAGAGAAATTATGAATTAGGCAATTTTTCTAGAAAATTACAAGATAAAATAAGTAAATTTAAGATAAATAAAATGCTTAATCTACACTGTATTTTATTATTGCAATGAATATTCTAATTTGGCTGTTTGGTAGTATAAACCTATGTATACCTACTCAGAATTAATTGCCAATGAGTTTTATAGGTAAATTTGAGTCAAGGTTACATTTAAAGCACAAAATGGGAGTTATACTATATTAAATGTTTTGTACATTGAAATACGGTTGTGAACCCTATGGACTTTATAGAATACAATCATTTATCTGTAAAATGATTTTACAGACTTTTCTTCAAATATATATTTCAATTATATTAACATTTTACCATCCTGTTTTGCAAACTGAAAATATTATTTAATCCCTTACATAGCTCTAAATTTCTTTTCCTCTGAAATTTTATATTAAAGTTTACTTCCCAAATTTGGAATAACTTAAAATTCATGTAAAGATGTAAACAAATAATTAGTTATTCTAGCCTAAGCATTATGCATACCCAACAAATCTCTGCTAAGTTAAAAAAAATAGAAAAAAATTAAAGTTAGAGACCATATAGATATGTCCTGATCTACAATTATTAAAATCAAATGCAGGATGAAAAAGAAGTTTATCATTCCTCCACCAAGATAACTGATGGTTTTAAATAAAGTTGGAGTTTTCTTCATGGACTGCTGATTCTTTCCTACATTATACGGAAAAGGGTAACTATGTCTGGCCATGCCATTTTAATTGGATTAAAAATAGTCTTCAAGTTATGACTGTGATTAAGCCTGCCTATGATGATTGTAACTTGTGGTTGTAAAAGATTGGTCATGTGACTGATCCAACTTTAGGACCATTTTTGCAGCAGTTGTTAAGCAAGTTTCCATGGTTGTCAAGTCAACCAAGGATTCATTATAGGGGGTCATTTGTCAAAAAAATGGAAGTAAATCCTGGTTTTCAGCAAAACTGTCATAAAATGCAGTCACATGACCATATGATGCTGCAAACGGCCATAAAGGTAGCCCAGGTGCCTGAAGCGCAGTCACGTGAATGGTGGTGGGAGGGGCAGCTGTGAGAACTTCAAATCCAGGTTGTTAGTGCCCAACTAGGTAGGTCTGTCAGAACTTCAACCAGCCACTAAGTGACTGATTGCAAGTCAGGAACTACCTGTAACTGGTTATTTTCATTAATATCAGATGAATAATATAGTTATAATTCCAAAATATTTTGATCCAATGAATGTCACAATCAATGTGGCAATCAAAATGTGCCATACTAACTTCTTAACTTCAATTCAAATAGTGTCCTATATACTGCTCAAATATAGCCTGATTTTAATAACATCCAAGTGAGTAGCTTGTAATATTATATTTCTCAAGGACTATTTTGGGAGGATTAAATTGCTCAACTAAGCTGGATTTATTAGGAATTGAACTACATATATCATGTCTAAATTCAAAATCTCCGAATATTATAAAAAATGAGTAATGTTCCATGTTCAAAAGAAAATAAAATAAAAAAGAAAGCATGCAGCAAAGCAAAATAAGCATAATGACATTCTTATACAATCTACAGGTTGGTTGATCTATAGTAGCTTAAGAAATAACTAATGAGAAAGGGCAAACAATTTGTATTTGAATAAAATAGGCAAATATAATCAACAGTAAACATCACAACAAGAAATTATAATTTATATTTCACAATTTCAATTAACATCTTAAAATGCCTGCAGATGCAAATTTCTTAGATGAGAACAAATTTATTTGCCCATCTTCTCAAGGAAATGTCATTTAGAAAATGCAAAAAAAGAGAATGATTTAAAGAGACATCAACTTTAATATACAAGGACAAATATCAAAACAGATCACTTATTTCAAGGTACACAGTTGCAGAAGAGTTTGAAAATTATTATTACTATTAATATCTAGTAATGTCTATGGCTCTTTAAATATAGGTAAAATGAAAACTAAAAGCTAGTTGTCTCTTTAAATTTCAGTGTAGGGTTCTGATAACCATGCAATATTTTTCAAGCTGTACACAAGACAATATGATATTTGTTAAGATGGTCTAAAACAACACATTCAAAAATTAAAATGGGAAAACGGACCAACGGCGACAGTTTCCTACTATCCATTTTCCAAGGAAACAACAACAACCAAAAAGAAAAAAAAAACTTTAGTTTCTGTCAGGCAGATTAAGCCTTTACCTGAACCCTAGGAACAAAAGGCGCTGTTCTTCTACTAAGGCTTTGGCTCTGGTAAGCAAAATTAAAGAAAAAGCAGTAAAACAAAGCCAAAAAGACAACACACTAGAAACTAAAAGACCAAAATTAAAACAAGGACACACAACTTTAAATAGTGCCATACACCAAGAACACATTTATTTAAAAGCAAGTGTTAAAACTGATGTATTAAAACTGTAAACATCCTTTATGTTCCTCTATTAATAAGATTTTTATTTGACTTGCTTCACATTGTGATTGGCGTGTCCTGAAGACGTGTTTGTCTTTATTCACAGTTGTTTAATATTCAGGTCCTTTCCAATGCCTTTATTAAGAGACTTCTGTATGTACAATGCAAGTTAAAATAAAGCCACTTAAAAACAGTACGATGCAAACTTAACTGAGAGTAAATCCCATTAATCTCAATTGGTCTTCCATTAGAATATATAGGATTATATTACCCAATGTCATGGAATATAAACAAAAATACCTCAATTTACTCTTACAGCTGGCCCTTAAAATGATTTAATAGTGAAACTCGTTACAGGGTCTCACTAGCATTTTCAATGAGCTCATTTATTTTAGCACACTATCAATTAATATGGTTTGCTTTACTAGTTTCAAAGGAGTGGTACAATTTATTTATTATACTGAGTCAGTACTTAGACTGTAAAAATGCATTTCATTAGCTCACTTCAATAATCTCTAGATTATTAAAAGATCATCTTTATACGCTTGTACCTTCTCATTAGGAGGATAAAAAAATTAATAAATTGTTAATCATATTTCAGGAAGTGGTTTAATCATGTTTGCTGTAATTTCTAAATTACTGTATATATTTATCTCCTATTGATTTACATATTCCCTTATACTTTTTCTTGGAAAAAATAAGGAAATGAATTCTTCATATAGCTCAAAAGCATTTATAATTGGACATCCACAAGAGGATGCCGTACATGTCATTAGGTCATCACACAGATATGCAAATCAAATTCTATATAGGTGATCTTCCTTATACAAATTATGTAATTCACATCATTATTGTAATGATGTCATGTCATAAATGACATATATGGCTTCCATTAGGCGCCTATGGGACCTATTTATTTATTTATCCATTAGACATGTATTTATACCATTGTCAATTTATTTTAGTGTTCAAGACCACTTTAGAAAAAGCTGCTTTGCAGATTATTGTCAGTTCCAAAAGTGACACTGGGAAAGTCTCTGCATATTCTACGGCCTCTCTCTTTTCAACAGTTTCTTTCTCTTTTTCATTTGAAAGAGCAAATGGTAGCTCCAGGATAGCAGAAGCTGAGATATTTAGTTTCCTGGCAACAATATATAACAGTCATAGCATGAAAGAAAGGAGACTTAGAAGTATAGGTAGAGGCATGAAAGTATGAAATAAAGGAATGAAATAAAGGAAAAGCAAGGCATTGGTTTTCAATCCGTGAGTTGTAACTCTATAAAAAGCTTTCAGTCAAATTAAGAGAAATTGCAAATCCCAGATCCGCAAAGGGAGTAGGGAATGCATGAGCTAGGAGGCTGAGCAGAGATAGGCAGGCATAAAATCAGATCAAATCAAATTAAAGCAAATCAAACCTTTACCGCAGCCGTAAACCCAGCAGTCAAATACAAGCAATTAAAAATGAAATATATGTTTGTGTGTATGAATAAGGAATTAATACAATTTTTCAAACACAAGGAGGGAGGGATGGTACATATGGAAGAACACAATTGGGGAGTCTGGGAGAATATATCCAACTAATGGTAAGACAAGAGAAACAGCAAATAGAATTCAGGCTGTGTCAGGAAATCTCTTCAGGATAAGATGGATAAAAGCCACCTGAAATTTCTTATATATCAGAGTGATAAAGGAACCTACAGTCCGGAATCCACTGGCAATGATGATAATAGGGATAATTGTAAATTCCACTGCTAAGTGATGCTGTCAAAAAGTGTGATGCCACATGATTGCACCACTTAGCAATTGTAATCGTGGTCATCCCTGCTGCCATCATTAAGCAAGGACCTCCAAACAATTTTCTGCTATAGAAGGAAGAGAAGCTGGCAGGAAGTTAGAAGTTCCAGGCGGCTCACAAGCATGCAGGCAAGTGGCTACTGCCACATGAGGGAGGGTGTCCAATTGGACGATAAGATGCAATAGCAACATGAACAGACTGGATTTGGGGAGAATTACTAGAGTGAATGAAATCATCCCCTCCCCATATACTTTGCTGGTGGGAAGTTGGCAGGGAAATTTGCAAACGACATTTAACTGTGGGATGCTGAGAGCCAGTTGCTAAGCTCTCAGGTCACAATCATAGAACTTTTGGGGCAGGTTATAAGTACCACTCATTCAGTACAATTGTAACTTCAAACAATTGCTGGATGAGTATTCATTAACCAAGGACTGCCTGTACTAAGCTGTTCCTGACAATAGCTGGTAATATTTTTGTAATGCTCCATCAGTAGAAAGCAATGTGTCCAGTCTGGCCAAACTGAAAGCCCAGCAAAATTTCAGAATATTGATGGTAAGAGGTTGAGGCTGGCACATATTCACTTGGGGGGAAAAAATCCATCAGCTAAGGGGCTGGGAACCAGACCTAAATTGATTTGCAGATCAATGTCCCAGATATTCTTCTTAAGAATATTGCTATTTTCAAAGTGTAATGGCAAAGGTTTTCCAATAAGATTCATAGGAAGTAAAGCTTGCCAATAACTTAAAGGTCATTCTAAAGCAGTCTCCAAAAACTAATGATGCCAAAAGTTAAAAAGATACTATCAAGCTTCAGTATCCACAGAGATCAAGATGGTCTCTAAACATAAATCAATATTTTGAATTCATTTTAGAATTGCAAGTTGTAGTAGACTTAGACTAAATGGAAAATTTAAATGGATTCTAGGAAGTCAAGCTTTCTTCAAAAAAGAAGGCTTGAAGAAGCTGAGTAAGGATCTTGGCTATAAAGTCTTTGCGTACTGCATGGACAAATTGAGTTCCATTTGAATGGGAAATCTCAAGATAGCTAAAACGTTATAATGACCAACACTTGTCAAATATAAGTAATGTTTTCCCTAGAATAGTGGGGAGGCCTAGAACTGTACTCTAAAGTCAGAATGGGATAACTTGCTGCAGCCAACTCACCACAGCCAATTCACTGCAGCCAACTTGCTGCGAGGCAATTTGATAATTCAATTTAATTATTTAAAATAATTTTTTAATTTTTTTAATTTTTGTCATTCACATTTCATTTTGTCACTCTTTTAGCCTCTGTTTCTTCGATATTAGTGTAGCACTTGTTCCGTGGCAGGTTGCCCCACAACCAGTTGGCTGCAGTGAATTGGCCATGACCAGTTGGCTGTGGCCAGTTGTCGTAGACCTCTCTAAAATTTATGTATGTACCTGCTTGATAAATACATATGCATCTCCTATTAATTTTCCAATTATTACTTTTATGGTGCACCTATTCTGGGTTGTTGTTGGTAGATAGGATTACAATTGTGCGATCTAGTCAGTAGGAAAATATGATGAAATGTCAACATGAGTCAATAAGGCATATTCATATAGCCCAGCAATCTTCCCCTCCCCACAACTTAGTAATTGCAGAGAAATAAACATCCTCCAGAGTAAAGGCGATTACATAAAAAACCAACACAGTAAGTTATGTAATGCTATATGTACTGTAGTATTTTAATTGAGTAAGGTTTCTATATGGTTTTTGCATGTGCTGTTTTCTGCCCAAGGTATTAATATTTAATATTTATTATATGCAACATATAATTTGTATTTAAGATGGGCAAGCCATATAAATTTTATAAAATGAATAAGAGTGAAAATAAAGACCCTTACAATGAATGAGAATAGTCTCACTCTCATTCTTTTCCATTGAGAGATTCTCAAGGGAATATCTGCCAAAAAGAAAAATATTGTACATAATACTGTAACTGTTCTAAGTTCTACATCTTTTCTCTATTCCCGATCATGAAAAAAAAATCTATTCAGCATCAGAATGAACTGTAGAGGCAAAACAAGCCTCCTTAATTATAAAAAGCTTTAAGTATATTCATTATTAGTGTTTATTAATGAGTATTGATGTAAGATGCTTTACAATCTTGAGCTCTTACAATATGTATTCTGGGAGCACAGTTATAATAAATAAATTCATCATGTTGGGTCAAAAGTAACTGTACATATGCTGCTGTTGAATAGTTTCAAAGAAATCAGACCCTTTCAAATTCAAAAACTCTTAAAAAGCACAGTTTTCAACAAAAATAGGTATGTTCGCAGAACACTACTAGATTACAATACAATACAATACAATACAATAGCAGAGTTGGCAGGGAGCTTGGAGGTCTTCTAGTCCAATCCCCTGCCTAGGCAGGAAACTCTATACCATTTCAGACAAATGGCAATCCAATATCTTTTTAAAGGCATTCACAACTTCTGGAGGAAAGCTGTTCCACTGATTAATTGTTCTAACTGTCAGGAAATTTCTCCTCAGTTCTAAGTTGCTTCTCTCCTTGATTAGTTTCCACCCATTGCTTCTTGTTCTACCGTTAAGTGCCCTGGAGAAGACACCCTGTTCTTTGTGGCAACCCCTGAGATATTGAAACACTGCTATCAAGTCTCCCCTAGTCCTTATCTAGACATCCCCAGTTCCTGCAACCGTTCTTCATATGTTTTAGTCTCCAGTCCCCTAATCATCTTTGTTGCTCTTCTCTGCACTCTTTCTAGAGTCTCCACATCTTTTTTACATCGTGGCGACCAAAACTAAATGCAGTATTCCAAGTGTGGCCTTACCAAGGCATTATAAAGTGGTATTAACAGTTCACGTTATCTTGATTCAATCCCTCTGTTACAAATTATTCCATCATAGCATACCGTATTTTTCAGAGTATAAGACGCACCTGAGTATAAGAAGCACCAAGGTTTTAAAAAGGCAAATTAAAAAAAAAGTTTTGCACTCTGCAAACCTCCCTTTTTTAAAAAGTGGGGGCATGAATAGCCCTTAGGAGGCTTGTAGAATGCTCCTGGGGGTAGGGGGGCCAAAAACGAGCAAAAAATGGTCTGTTTTTTGTGAAAATGGGCCCATTTTTGTCAAAAAAAAGGTCATGGATAGCCTTTAGGAGGCTTATAGAGTGCTCCTGGGGGCTGAGGGGAACAAAATTGAGCAAAAAAAGGAAAGTTTTTTGCTCATTTCTGCATTCCCCAGCCCTCAGGGGCTCTCTGAAAGCCTTCTAAAAGCTATGCACGGCTTTGGTGAAGGGGGTGGAGTTTCAGGAGGCAAAAAAATGCTGTATTCAGTGTATAAGATGCACCCAGATTTTCAACCTCTTTTTTGAGGGAAAAAGGTCCGTCTTATACTCCAAAAAATATGGTTAAGTACGCTGCAAAGTAATTTACATTTCAGTGTGTTAGCTCAGAAAACTAGATTGAATTTAAACTAACTCAAAAAATATGATGCACTTAGATAATTGTGTCTTGCCACCAGCCATGGTGTCATAAATTCTACTCATCAATTCAAATGTTCCATGTTTATGTCTTTTCAAAAAAAATAGCCTTTCAAAGAGCTTTCAAAGAATGAAAATGATGAATGGTAACTTTGTATGATTACTAATCAGCAAAAGATATATGGCTTCTCTTGGCACATTATCACCCCAGGCCCCTCTAAGTTAGTTACCCACCTAACATTTAATAATGAAATAAGTAAAATTTTAATCTCTTTTATACTTTTGCTGTGTATTCCTTTGCAAACTATTATAATTATTTTAATATTGTGCAAAACACGTTGCACAAGTACACACTACCCACTCACCCAATCTCCAATGTAAACATGTACAAATTTTGTTACACTTTAAAAGAATGTTGAAAACTGTTCTACTGTCCTTCTTGTCTGGATACGTTGTAGAATGGAAGCACTATTATTATTTCAAAATAAAGAAACAGAAGAAATAAGAGCTGGTAGAGAAATAACCAAAACAGTCCCATAACAAACTAAGACCCTGAGAACCCCTCTTTTTTTTACTTTATTTTAATATTTAATATTTTATAAAATAGAAATGATTAACTGCACATAGAGCAAACATATTAATTTAATTTAATTTAATTAGATTATATTATTGTGGATCAAGACATGCCTACTTTTTGGGAAGCATCTTCTGGTACTTCAATCAAAGACCAAGTATAGGTTACTTAGTATTACCTTGAAATAAGGCTACCAGTCCCTGACATAACTATCTGTCAGGAAAGTTGTGCGGGTGGCTTAAATTACTGTACATATAAGTCTAATTATCTAATTCTATCAATAGAGGATTGTATTCCCCTTGAATATTGGTTCATAGTTGGTGCATGTAGATACAATTCTGTTACATATAAGATTCAATGAATTTAGTATTAACATACACATATTCCAAATACAGTATAAAATGGCTGTAGACTACTTCGTTTTGAGAAAAATACTGAATGAAAAAAGAAATCAAAGTAAAACCATTTTAGTACATACTTGACATTGATACTTAAGAAAAATTTTATTGATTAAAAAAAAACAAGGATTACTACACTCAACAATTGTTTACATACTGAAAGTTGTCCAGATAAAAACTGTGGAACATCTCTCAACATCCCAGGACTCATGGGAGAAGTGACTGATATGGAAGGCCGATCCATTTTCTGAGATTCAAATGAACTAGAACCTGAAAGTATAATTCATTTTAATTCATTAAATTAGCAGATACATAATTCTGTATGTTTATATGTAAAAGAAAAAGCATTCAAACATTGACAAGCATACTATAAAATGTACATATATTATATACCAAAAAAATATTTAAACATGGTAGAACATTAAGCAAATGAAAACAATACAGCTAAAGCTGAACAAATGTGGCTCGATAATTAAAAATAATAAATTATAGATATTATAAACCATGACAAATCCAAAGACTAAAATTCTGCAATTTGCTATGTTTGGCTATATTTGGCTCCTTAGTGGAACTGATTTGTTTCTCAAATTACTCCTGGATTAAATAACCTTCAGTAACATTTTACAATTAGAAAAACAAATTATAAAAATGAGTATTTTTCTTTTTCCAGAAAGTATATTGCAGGTTTTTTTCATGCTGTGCTAGTAAGACACTGAAACTTCTGACAACTGTGTGATATATTTAATGTTTGAATTTTCCTAAAGCCATAAAAATATTTGGAAATTTAAACAAGTTCAGAAAGTCAATATAGCCGGAAAGCTGTGTGGTTATTTTACAAGCATTTTATATTGAAACTGTTGTTCCATTTGGTATCTTCTACTGTACAGTAAACATGGGACAAAGCTAAATCTTATAGCACTTTATCTGCAATCTTCTATAAATTTACTTGAGCCCATTAAACGCAGCAGGGTTTATTTCCACATTCAAAAATAAATATAATTGCCAAATGTGAAAGACCGAGACATTTCTCAACAGTAACAACATTACTATTTTAAACTCTCTATCATCATAATGTACATTTTATTTAATGATTGCAGTAAACAAAAGACATTTTAAAAAACCTTAAAAGATAGGAACAACATCAATTTTAATTTACCGTGTTTTATATTTTTCAGTATAGCAAGAACCAATTAACATTGTATTTACTGACTTCTGACAAAACAGTTATTAACGAAAGAGTAAAATATAACAAAGATATATATGTAGAAATAGAGAAATAGCTATACCTCAGTTTTCAGATTGATATTACATCTAAAAAATAAAACTTACTGGACTCCAACTGTGCATGCGTACTGTCAGGTATTCTGGGAATATCCCTGCAATTATGAAGAACAAAATATAATCATATTATATCTATCCATCACAGCTAGATAGTATATAATAAATGTGAAAATAAGGGAAATATAATAAAACACTTGAAACTTAAAAAATATACTTATTCAGAATATGTTTCTGAATATCAAAATCAAATTCGAAACAGTATCTTGTCTTCTTTTCAGTTGCATAAAATGCAATACAGAAAAGTATATGGGTGATCTTCATTGTCTTAAAAAGCTTTAAAAAATGAAACATTACATAAGGAGATCACATTTAACAGATATCAATAATCATTACAGTAATTTGAGTATTAAAAGGAAGCAAAATAATGATGAATATTTATTGGTTATAGAACACTAAACCTTCTCTAATCTTTTTGGTTTTGTATGATATAAAGTCAGCATGAATATTAATGAGACTACGTGAAAATTTTAAATAATTAAAGAGGCATTCTATAATATAACTCACCCTATTGGCCTTGAAACTACAAGTTCTACTTGTGGCTCTGGTTTGGATTCAAGAATGATGTTATACACTTCTTCAAAAGTGGCTCCTTGTAAAAGCCTTCCATTCCATTCTAATACTTCATCACCTAAAAGTATAATCATCATAATATCTTTACTGAAGAAACCTAGATCTCGGAACCCTTATTAGTATTAGTGTCATTTGATCATTATAATTTGCTAAAGTTTTTTTTCCCCAAAAAAGGCTGTATGTGAGCTTTGTTCAATAATACATAATGCACTTATACGTAAATAGAAAATATATCCATTAAAAGAAAATTTTACTTTAATTAGCAATATTAATCCTTAAAATAAAGTATGTACAACATAATTTCACCTTGCATTACTTATCTTTTAATATATGTTCTATAGAACACTGCAACTGAAAACAAAATAAATAATAAAAATATGCAAAATAAGACAATGACTTCCACAACGTTCATGTTAGATGTTGATTTTAAATAGCACTTGCAACAAGTGGCTTCTCCTGGATATAACTGAAGGACACCCTTAAGTTGAGGATGAAACCATATCCCACTCCGAATGAATGAATGAATGAATGAATGAATGAATGAATGAATGAATGAATGAATGAATGAGACAAATACATATAGAGTAAATACGATAAATAAATAAGATAAATAAATAAGACTCTTAAATAAAAAGATAGAAGAAACACTGATGGTGGTTGTACCGTACATTGGAAAATCTGAAGAAGTAACTTGGGGAGAAAATCTATCCATGTGGTCATTAAGAGTCAACCAAGTTGATGGCAAGTAATCAAAAAGATGGGCATCCACGAAATAAGTTAGCTATAATCCACGGCTATAATATATAATTATAGCCATGGTGGCACAGTGGTTAGAGTGCAGTACTGCAGGCTACTTCTGCTGACTGCTGGCTGCCTGCAATTTGGCAGATCAAATCTCATCAGGCTCAAGGTTGACTCAGCCTTCCATCCATCAGAGGTGGGTAAAATGAAGCCCCAATTGTTGGAGGCAATATGCTGACTCTGAAAACAGCTTAGAGAGGGCTGTAAAACACTGTGAAGTGGTATATAAGTCTAAGTGCTATTATCCCAGGAACTNCTCAAAAATAATAAGACCTCCCCGAAAATAAGGCCAAGTGCTTATTTTAGGAGGGGTCAAAAGAAAATAAGACAGGGTAAACATAGTGACATCTAAAATGTTAGCCATAACATCTGATGTGTAGATTCTGTTTTGTTTAATTCACGGGTTATTGTAGAGTTATTGTATGTTGTGTTAATCCAACCTAGGTGCCAAAAAATCAAATCCTCCATTAGAGTTAGACTACTAATAAATCTCACATTAAAATATCTTAAATAATAAGACAGCTGAATATCTAGTAACAAAAATCAAACTCTAAAAAACAGTCAATATATCCAACATTGGATTTAGATATTCAGATGTCTTAATTAGATATTTTTAACATGAATGTAGTGAGGTAATGAAACCATTATTACTTAAAAGCTGTTCTCATTAGTGCCTTAATGGCTGCCCATTCGTTCTGACTAAAGCACTTCATTTTCCAAATCAGGCCTATAAATTTTTGGATCCCAAATAAGAGGAAAATTAATCTTAATACTTGGATCATAGTCACCACCACCCTTTATCTTCTAAAATGTTAATATACATTTTTTTTAAATTCCCAAAAAATCTTATTTCTAATTGTGAATTTTTTGAAAAAATTGTAACTGACAATTACCACATTGGTTAAATTTGAACAACAATCCAGGCTAAGACATGTGGGTGCTATTTTGTATGATCAGCATATTGTAGAAACCCAGAAATTTGAATTAATTCAGTAAATTACATTTCTATTCATTACAAGCTAGCATATTATGTGAATACAGATTTTTTTTAAAAAATAGGACGTTCATAAGAAGTCAATTAATTAACTGATGAAATAAGCTGAATCTACTAACAAAAAAATAGATTGCTTTTGGTTCACAGCAAAAAGGTCTTAATTTAGGATTCTATTTCTCATAGCAGCCACCTATATTCTTGCATGAGATCCATAAGCAAGACAAAACTGTAGCTATCACCAGCTCTCAAGCACCTGGTATTTAAAGAAACACTGTCTTGTAATTATATCTACCAGTCATCAAAGGGGGACTTGATCTTTATTTAATCTTTTATTTCCTCTTTTAATGCCACTCCTAAGTTTAAGTGTGCTGCAGCCATTTTTTATATACAATTTCCACAGCGAATAAACCCCATCCACAGCGAATAAACTATTTCCTCCTCTATCTTACTTGCCATCATTCATCTAATTTCAAGGTCGGAAACTATGGCCTCTTTATGACTTGTGGACTTCAACTCCCAGAATTCCTGAGCCAGGTGGCTCAGGAATTCTGGGAGTTGAAGTCCATAAGTCATAAACGGGCCATAGTTCCCCACTCCTGATCTAAATGGAATTTTACAACAATATCAAAAGCAATAGAATCATTTTGCATTATGATCCTAAAACATTTCATCATTTTCTGTAAAGGTGCTCCTCTTTCAAGAAGTGTCATTCATTTAATCCACCAAAAACATAGCTGAAATGCAACCAGATAGACAGGGGGGAAAATTCAGTCTTCCTCATTTAGACCAAACTCATAACTTCCTTAACAGGATAAATAAATAAATAAAAACACAGATGAGATGCATGCAAACACTAGCTTGAAGAACAGTTCTTCCTCTGAAGAAAACTCTACAAATTTGCTTCTCATTGTATCACATTCTCAGGTTCATCAATATTATTTTACTTCTATGATTTTAATATACCATATTTTCAGAGTATAAGACACCTTCAAAAAAGAGGCTGGGTGCGTCTTATACACTGAATACAGCATATTTTTGCTCCCTGAAACCCCGCACCCCGCTCACCAAGATGGCCGTGCAGAGCCTTTAGGAGGTGTTCAGATTGTTCCTGGGGGCTGGGGAGGGCAGAAATGAGTGAAAAACAGGCCGTTATTTGATCAATTTTGCACCCCATAGCTCCCAGGAGCACTCTATAAGCTTCCTAAAGTCTATGCATGCCCTTTTTTTGAAAAGAAATTTTTTGCCTGTTTTTGCCCCCCCCCCCCCGCCCCAGGAGCACTCTATAAGCCTCCTAAAGGCTATTCATGCCCTTTTTTGGAGGGGAAACGGGCCCATTTTCACAAAAAACGGGCTGTTTTGGGGAGATCTGCAGAGGTTTTTTTTATTTGCCTCTTCAAAACCATGGTGCGTCTTATACTCCAGTGCGTCTTATACTCTGAAAAATATGGTACATGCAATCTTTGTCCCTAAATAAATAAATAAATATTTAATTATCTATGTTCCACAATTCTGCTAAATGCAGTTGTCATGGCAGTCTTCAGATAAAACTTATCCCCAGTGGTGGAATTCAGCCAGTTCGCACCACTTCGAGAGAACCGGTTATTAACTTTCTGAGCAGTTTGGTGAACTTGTAGTTGGAAAAAAAAAACATTATGACAGAGAACTGGTTGTTAAATTATTTGAATCCCACCACTAGTTATCCCACAAGATAACTAAGAACAAAATGCACTTCCCACCTATTCTGTTTTACTAAGTCTATCTAGCTAGTTGCCAGTACTTCTAATTTCTATACCCAGTAATATTGGAACAACTTGATTCCAGAAGTTGTGAATGCTCTAGCACTGGAAGTTTTTAAGAAGACATTGGATAACCATTTGTTTGAAGTGGTGCTTCCTGCCTAAGCAGGGGGTTGGACTAGAAGACATTCAAAGTCCTTTCGTANATATGTACTGTACATGTTGCAAATATAACCTAAAAACATCTTCCCCAACAGCTTTCTTTGGGCCCTAATAAGATGAATTAAGAAATGAGGATAGTGCCTTTTATGGTTACAAAAATAGATGTGATTTCAGAAGATATTAATATTCATAAATACGCTGCAGTGGTTTTAGACTGCATTCCAATCACGTTAGTAAGACCCATGTGGAATATTACACCCAGTTTTGGATATAATAATTCAAGAAAGGCATAAATTAGAATGAATTAAGAGAACAGTCCAATACAGGAAAAACTATTTTATTAGAAAATGTTGAAGGAATATTTAGAACTGAAAAGAGTTAGGAAATTTATTTACATTTCCTGGCCATTCCAGTAGACTGGGTCATGTACAAAACTAAAAAAATATATTAAAACGGCTAAAAATATTAATTCAGAGAGACAGCACAGACTAGAGCATTGATGGTGAACCTTTTTCGCCTCAGGTGCCAAAAATGGACTGTTTTCCAACTTCCGGTGGGCCTGGTAGGTCCGTTTTTTGCCCTCCCCAGGCTCCAGAGGATTTCTAGGAGCCTGGGGAGGGCTAAAAATGGCCCAACATGCAAACCAGAAGTTCGGCGAAAAACGGCCAAAAATCAAGGCCAAAAATCAGCTGTCCAGCACACACATCAGTGGTGGGTTCCAAACATTTTTAGAACCTCTTCTGTAGGTATGACCTACTTTGTGGGAGTGGCTTGCCGGCCATGTGACCGGGTGGGAGTGGCTTGCCAGCCATGTAACCGAGTGGGAGTGGCTTGGCAGTCATGTGATTGGGTGGATGTGGCCAATTTGTAAAATGTAGTGAAACTCACTTAACAACGCTCTTGCTTAGCAACCAAAATGTTGGCTTAGAAACTCTGACATTTGAAGTACGCAAATCTTAAAGCTGTCAAGTTAAAGACTCTTGCGCCCCTAACCCTTTAGAAAAAAAACCCAGGGGTGTTCAAACTTGACAGCTTTAAGATTTTTAAATAGGACTCTTAGAGGTGGGCAGGGCAATTCATGAGCCAGCCAATCAGTGAGCGGCAGGCGGGGTAAGCGTGATCCGGATGGGTGGGGGGAGGGAGCTGGAACCAGTTCTAAATGGCACGGTAGATTTGTGGAACCTCTTCTATAGAAGAGATTAGAACTGGCATGGACCCACCCTGACACACATGCACACTGGAGCTGACAGGGCAATGCCTCAAGTGCCCTCAGAAATGTCTCCACATGCAACCTGTGGCCTGCGTGCTATGGGTTCACCATCATGGGACTAGAGTGATCCAACAGACAACAAAATAAACAAAATAAAATGTGTGCCTTTAACAAATAATAAATATCAACCCTCAGTCTGGGACCAAAGCTAGCTGTTCAGAATCCTAGAAGAGAAGGCACCATCCTCATTTCTGGAGGAAGCGCTGTTCCAAATGGTATGAGCTACAACAGAAAAGACATACTTCCTAGGTACTACAAGATGACAGTGTTGAATGGCAGGAACCTGGAGTAAATCTATTCTGCTGGCCCACATTGAGCAGGAAAAAACAACTGGAGTCAAGCAGTCTTTCAGATATGTTCTTCAAATCTCTGCATGGCTGCCATACAAAGGAAACCACAACTTCTTCGCTCAGTTGGATTATGTTATCAGATTTATTTGAGTATTAAGGATAGATTCAAATAATTGCAGTTTGGATAAAATGGAGTTGGCAGTTTGTAAGGCCTTGCAGACCTGGTTATTCCACCCAGGTATTCAGACTTGGAGGATACACAAGCTCTGCTGGTTAATATTGTATTTTACTGGTTGGGATTAGAGTTTTTGATCTCAGATATTATTGTTTGGATCTGTAATCTGTGTTTTTACCCTTGTATGTTGCCCATGTTACTATGACATGAACACTAGGTAATTGTATACATACATACATACATACATACACAAATAAAAAAATTAACAAATTTATATTAATAGGATATTAAATTACCTTGTTTCCCCCAAAATAACACCTCCCCGGATAATAAACCCAATTGGGATTTTGAGCGCATGTGCTCAAATAAGCCCTCCCCCGAAAATAAGTCCGCCCTGAAAATGTTGCAACACAGCAGCAGCCATGAGGTGACCATGTTCACCGCCTCCTGCACCTCAAAAATAATAAGACCTCCCCGAAAATAAGGCCAAGTGCTTATNATGTGGTCATTAAGAGTCAACCAAGTTGATGGCAAGTAATCAAAAAGATGGGCATCCACGAAATAAGTTAGCTATAATCCACGGCTATAATATATAATTATAGCCATGGTGGCACAGTGGTTAGAGTGCAGTACTGCAGGCTACTTCTGCTGACTGCTGGCTGCCTGCAATTTGGCAGATCAAATCTCATCAGGCTCAAGGTTGACTCAGCCTTCCATCCATCAGAGGTGGGTAAAATGAAGCCCCAATTGTTGGAGGCAATATGCTGACTCTGAAAACAGCTTAGAGAGGGCTGTAAAACACTGTGAAGTGGTATATAAGTCTAAGTGCTATTATCCTAGGAACTTCGAACACCAGTATAAGCAAATGATCTCAACCACATTATACACAACAAGTGTTCTTTATTTTCAATGGGACTTCATTAAAAATGCTTAGCCTAAAAAAAAAATCTATCTCACTAGTAATGTTACCTCATACACCAAGAAGACATGATTCTATGAAAAAAAGAGAAATGTCTGTTTTCTTTTTACTATCTAAAATATTTTCTCTTCCCTCAGGTAATTTAAATGGCAAATTTAATTCTAATTTCTTTTAAATTATATACTCTTAGTGTCTATTTACTATTGAGTTTTAGCTTTAAAACTGTAAGCTATAAGAGACGAAGTTATTTGAAAAAGTTTCTGAATATGACCAAATATTAAAATGCCCAAAGATATAGAGTATTGTATCTTCTCACCGTTATCATTTGTTTCTTATTTATCTGCCATAATTGTAATTATCATTATAAAAATATACACATCACATATGTAGGGGGGGGGAATCTAAGAATGAATAACTCAAATGTTACAACAAAGTAAAAAATATACTGCTACAAGCAAAGGTTTTAATAATACAGTTGTGCATCTCAGTATTGCTTACATACATTAAATCAGAACTATCATTTCTCAATTATAAAATTTAAAACAGTTCTCATACCTGGCCTAAGATGTCCAACTGTGTCAGCTAAACTTCCTTTTTTTACTTTGGTGATAAATGCACATAGTCGACCTGATTCAGTCATTTTTCCTCCAACCACCTGTTTAAACATATGATTAAATTTATATTTTAAAAGTTCATGAAGATCATTTTCCCTCAAACAGTTTTAATTTGGTACCCAAACTTACATCAAATATATTAGAATTACCCTTGTTTCCCCAAAAATAAGAGAGGGTCTTTTTTATTTTGCCCCCCGAAATAACCCCTTGGCCTTATTTTCGGGGAAATCTTATTATTTTTGAGGTGCAGGAGGTGGTGAGCGTGGTCTGCTACTGTGTTGCAATATTTTTTGGGAGGGCTTATTTTAGTGCATGTGCTCAAAAGCCCAATTGGGCTTATTATCTGGGGGGGGTCTTATTTTTGGGGAACCAAGGTAATTGATCAGGACACAAAAAATAGGCCAATATTTTCTTATGGGTATTTTCCAAAAATATTTTTAGCTGGTTTAGTTAAGATCTGTTAGTTCGATCAGGTTACTCCAGCAAGCTAATGACAAATTTCATATACAGAGCATATAAATATAAGCTGTATATTATTGCTACTGCAACTTGATTCACTATAGTTTATATGGTATTTGGACACACAAAAATTGAACATACAAGAAACCCTCACTTATCAGCTGCCTTGTTTAGTGACTGCAAATGGCAATCAGATGACCCCAGGATATTGTAACTGTTGTAATACACGCCATTTGCCAAGTGCTGAAATTTTGATCATGTGGCCAAGGGTATGCAGTCCTAAGTGTGAGACTCAGTCAGAAGTCACTTTTTTCAGTGCCACTATAACTTCAAATGGTTTTCTAAAGAAATGGTTCGAAGTGGTATCCAAGTCCTCTGTTATAATGAGAGAAAATGTATCACTTCCACAAACTGAAAACATTTTTTTGAATATGTATATAAGTGTCCAGGTATCTATGCATAATTTCATTAAACAATTGTTTGTAACACTGTAATTCATTCCAAACTATATTTAAAAGTGTGCAATGGAATCCTAGTGCATTTTTTAAAAACTTTAACTTTTAATGTTTAAATTATAGTTGTGGGGAAGCAACCTGCACAGTACAAACATGAGAAACATGAGTTACACACAGGGAGACAAAGATCTACTCTAGAAAAAACATATGCACAAGAAATAGTATGAATATATTGAAGAAATGTAAAAAAATATCCCTAAATCAATTAATATGTACCACGGAATAACATTTTGGAAAGTGAAGTTAAATGGTCCTAGAAAATACTGCAAACTGCAAAGCTGTAGGAATTGATGAAATGCTGACAAAAGTGTTTTAAACTTTGCAAGATGAGGTAGTTAGAGTGCAAGTGAGAATTTATAAGTCTCTAGGGGAAAGTGAGGAGTGGCCAAGCGATTGAAAAATATAAATGTGTATTCCAATATCAAAAAGCACTGTGCTAAAGGATACTCAGATTGCTAATCAACTGTATTTCATATGATAGTAAACTAATTCTCAAGGTTTTGCAATATAGACATCAACAATACTTGAAAGAGAACTGACAGATATACAATCTTGATTCAGAAGAGGCAAGAGCAATGAGGATCATACTACCAATATTCAATGAATAATTGAGAAGGCAAGGGAATTTCACGAAGATGTCTTATTTTTTTTCACTATCATTTTGATTATAGATGGCAAAAATGTAAATGAACTGGATCATTTCATTTGCCTATTCAAAAACGTGGATGATGATTAGGAAGCGGCAAATAAGAATAGAATATTACAAAACTAAATGCTTCACAACTGGGAACAGATTACTCCAAAACTGTATAGTGTCGTCCAATTTATTTAACTGATATTGGCTCAAAAAAAACTAACAGGGATTATAACTATATCCGCTACTTGGGAGAAAGACTGTGACAGATATAGGCAAAATATTAAACTGCAAGAACTATCTTTAGAAAGGTATATTGAGTTCACTTTCTCTTTTTATCAAGTTCTGAGATCAGAGAAATACAGGTGTTACATACCCTCATTTACAAGGTTTGATATGACTTCCGTAGCCTCAGAGGGGGGAATTCATTATTACACAGTGTATACTTTGTCTGGTATTTTTACTTATAGAGACCATCAGGGAGCAGTACATAACAGGTTTCATTCTTTAGATAAGAATTATCACACATCTGTAGCCATGATCTTTCAATGGGGCTCAAATCCCTTAATGGGAATTGAATTTATGTAAAATGAATTTATGAAAGTCATACAACTGAGGGCATGACATATATAGCATCTGTATTTTTCAATCTTGAGGGATTGAGTTTTATTCTCCAGTTGCTTCCAACTACATTGTCAAGGAAAGATCATCAAAAATTTGATCTGTAATGTACATGTAAATAATTATATATAACACTTTGGGGCAGGTCAGGCTAAATATACTAAATATAGCCACATATGAAAATGATGCACAATATTTCTAGTCTATATTAAGCCACACTAAATATAACTGATCAGATGAAGTTGCTGAGCCGCTTATATTTACTTAAATTTATGTTAGCTGAGTTCAGTTTAAACTTAAGTGAGTATAGGCCTGCATTCAATGTTACATACACACATATTCATACAATGTTATTTGTCTTTTCATTCCAACTTTCTTGTTTCTTGCAAACCTGCTGCAAATTTCCTGAAATACTCTTTTTGAAGTTCTTTTTGAGGTTCAAAAAGATTTTGAATTGATAATACTTTAATTTGATGTTATTAAATTTTTATGTATTTGTTCAAATTTTATTGCTGCCTAATTCACATATGTGATTGGGCAGCTCAGTTAAAAAAAACCAAACAATACAAAGAAATGATCAAAATGTTAAGAACAAAAACCATTAAGACACACTTAAACAATTAAAAATTATTAAACTCCAGAAAAACAAATTGCAGGAGATTGCAATCCATTTTACTAATAGTACTACCATTCTGCAGACTCCACACCATCACTGGATCCCCAGAAATGATGACAAACCCACTTCTTGAAGACCTTTTGGAAGGCCAACAGGATTAGGACCAATCTAAACTCGTGGAAAATGATTTTTCATTGGTGGGGTGACCTCCTCCTGGGCCCCGTCAGATAATATTCCTTCGTGGGTGAGACCCGTAACATGCCCCTTCTCCCAGATCTGATGGGTTAAGTAGTTGTGACCAGAAAGAGACAATCCCTCAAATAACCCAGTCCTATGTCATTTGGGACTTTATAGGTCATTGCTAACATCATAAATAAACCCAGAAGAAAAACTGGCTACCAATGCAACTCACAGAACAGAGTTGTAATGTGCTTTGATTTTAATTAATTAGTTAATTTAATTAACTATTTTAATAGTTCTTAATAAATTTATAACAAGAAAAAATAAAGTATCTAGAACTGTGATGGCGAATCTATGGCATGTGTGCCAGAAGAGGCATGCAGAGCCATCTCTCCAGGCACGTGAGCCATCGCCTGTTGCTCTTCCAGGTTCCGGTGTGCCAGCCAGCTGGTTTTCACATGTGCGGGAGCACCAGAAACCACAAGAGCAGTTGCCTTGTGTGCATGCATACACCAGGAAGACGATTTTCTGGTTTCTAGCATGCACATGAGCACCAGCCAGCTGGTGCTCCCGTGCGCCAGAAATCGGAAGATCAGATGGTCAGTGCATATGCACGCACCGTAAACTGGAAGATCATCTTCCCAGCATGTGCATGCGCATTGGGCGGCTGCTCTTCCAGTTTCTGCCACACACACATACATGTGCGCTCCCGTTTCAGCACTTGGTGCCAAAAAGGTTGGCCAACACTGATCTAGAGAATATTTATTTATTCAAACTTATTGGCAATGGTGGGATTCAACCAGTTCGCACCACTTCGGAAGAACCGGTTGTTAACTTTCTGAGCAGTTAGGTGAACTGGTTGTTGGAAGAAATCATTAGGGCAGAGAACCGGTTGTTAAATTATTTGAATCCCACCACTGCTTATTGACTACCCAATTCCAATGGACTCCGATGATTAAGCACTTTTTGTTAATTGGTTGTAAGTAGTAGCTTTGTTTTGGAAAACAGCATTAAGATATATAAAAAAGAACAATTATTTCTAATAAAAATATTTGCATCTGAACTGAAAAATTACTAACCTTAAGTCCAAGCATTGCTCCTGAATCTCTAGGCACGCTTCCATCTTTTAGGCGCTTATTTAACAAAATTCGGCCAATTAAGCCATCTCCCTCTTTGGATGGCTGCCAGGTTACAGGATGCTACAGTATACATTAAACAAAATAAAAATCAGCAAAATTAAATTTGTGAAAAGTAATCCCAGCATCACATTTATTTTGTGTTATTAAGTACTGTGAAATAGCTATGATTACACTATTACTGCTTTTGCAGTAGGAATCAAAATTTGTATCATTCCATTAGATTATCAGAAGTCATTTCTCCTTTCTTCCTAAATAACTATATCAAATATACCTAAATCATACCTACACATTGAAAACAATTTCAGCCTATCATTATAGATCTGAAAACAGTGAACATCATTTCTGAATATAGAGAGCATGAATGGGGGATTTAACACAAAAAATACTTGAATGACTTATGATATTAAGTAATTAAAAAGCCACATATTACTTGAAAATAAATCCCACCATGTTCAGTCTCTAAAATTCATTTAAATGAATTAATAATTTAAACTTTTCTCTTAGCTTTAGCTGAACAGTTAATTCTTATTTACTACACATAGGTACCAGAATAATACATATCAGTATTTCTGAAAAATTTAGCCAATGATTTCAAATTTAGAACATCTGGTTTCGTATAATCATAGCACTTTTTCACATAATGTACTAGTTTCATGCTCTCACATGTACACAGATAAACATGCACATTACATTTGGCAACAGTGATAGCCTATAACAGAAAGCAAGAAAGAGCAATAATAAACCACATACAGCAGATATAACTACTACCCCATAATGCAGATAATATCACGGTGACAAAACAAATGAACATGGCAATGAAAGGGAAAAAAGAAAAACAATTCTGTCCAAATAGATATGGTTCCCCCCCCTTCCATTTTTTTTCAACCTGGGAATTAAACTATTAATTTAATTTCCAACCCCAGGGGCATTAAAGTGGTAATTAAACATGCCAATCCAGAAATAATTCTCATTGTTTAATCATAAAGATAATATCACCAAAATAGTATTGCATGACCATAAAAGCAATGCTTCTTTTTAGTGCCTGGATAATTTTGTTCTTCCTTATACTTTTGGGTGTTAATACCCACACAGTGATCCATAATTGTGGTTTTGTTTTTCTTTTCTGCACCTCAAGAAATGTTAGATTAGACCTGCCTTTGTATTCTTGATCTGTTTTAAATGAGTGACAGAGAGCAAACAAAGACCAAATGAGTAGATTAAAATGCAGGCACCACAAAGCCAATACCTTTTCACTATGGCTATGTTCCTCATTTAGAGTTGTGCTACTACAAGTGTCTACCCCAGAATCCTTAATCTGAGGTTCAGACCATTCCAAGTCCTCTTCCAAAGACTGGCCACCAAAACACACCATTTTCTTTTGTCTTTCAGATAAGATGTTAGAGTCCGACAAAACTGCCTGCTCACTAGTTTTTCTTTTTCCCCTTTGACTGTCCCCTACAGGCATGGGATAAAAAAAAGGATACAAGAAAGAAAACATGCTGAGATGTAAATAAAACAAAGAAAACATGAAATGGTAAAGGAAACTAAATGGTAAGGCTCCACATGTCTCACCAAAGACATTGGGGATGCCTCACTGCTATGCCAAGATGTATGGTCCCAGCTGTAGTCCATGTCTCCTGTGAGAATCAGACAGACAAGATAGTGCAGCAAAGGAAAGGTGAAAGGAAGGATAGACAAAGATATAATAGATTTTGCATTTCTATCATCCTGCCTTTATATGCTTTACTCACTAGCATGTTATTTGAAAAAAGAAGAAATCCCAAGGGAATATATATATATATAAATACAATTATATATATAATTATATAATTAGATATATATATATACATACAATTATATTATATAAGTACAAGATAACATTCGTGTTTGTGTGCATGTGTTTGTATTCTGTATATATGATATGTAAGATTTTACAGATTTGGTATCACTAATATCACATTACATGCCAAACATAAAAAATATATGAGTACATGACTGTTAAAACCTTATGTATTTCATAAAAAGACATAGACAATTTATTGAAATATAGCTTTTATCTGATCATTTTGAAAATGAGTGACTCCATTGAAATCAGTAGCTATAGAACCGTGATGGTGAACCTGTGTCATGCAGAGCCCTCTCTGCAGGCACGCCAGTCATCGCCCCAGCCCAGCTCCACCGCGAATGCACACGCACTTTCGGGTCCCTGCCGTGCATGCAAGGAGTGGAGCGCATGAGGGGGATGTGTGCATGGGGCACATGCATGGGGGGCATTCGCATTGCATTTTGGAGGCTTGCACAGCACCCCCACACCCTGTTTTGGCTTCCATGTTGGTGCAGGAGGTCTTCCAGGCTCAAAACAGGAGGGCACCATGCGAGGCCCCCCTGCACCCTGTTTTGGGACTGGAAAGCCGCCTGCACCAACATGGAAGCCAAAAATGGGGGAGGGGCACATATGTGGGGGCGAGGGAACATGGGAGGGTCACGGGTGCATGCATGGGACATGCAGGGGTGTTGTGTGTGCATTGCATTATGGGTGCGGGTGTGCTTTCAGCATGCGACAACAAAAAGGTTAGCCATCACTGCTATAGAATCTATATATTCTTTCTTAATACTCTTCTATACAATGGCTTTTAAAAGAAATCTTCTTAAATAAAACATTTTTTTTCTAATCTCTTTAAAGTACTGATACATATAAACTACAAAAAGGAATTTGCGCAATGCTGATTTCCTGTCTAAAATGTTTATTTCATATTTTCACAAAAAATGAAGCAACACCAATAAATGATTTGAGACAGACATAAGCAACAGTGTTGTCGATTTCTGCAATTTTACTTGAATGTATTTATTTAAGAAACATGGGAAAAGCTAAAAGTTCATTAATTCTTCACAGAGACTCTCTATTTTCCCTATTCTACAATCTCCCCAATGCACTATTAATGAAATGTAAATCTTCTGCTTCAGTAGATATAAATATTTCAAATTTCTGACACATATATGATGAAAGTGAAGTAATGATTAGCACACAGAGACATATCGCAACTTCAGCAACTTTTAAGTAAGCTACACCTTTTCCTGGGGTTATGTGTATGCCACATAATCCCCCCCCCCTCCCAAAAAATGATTTAAGAATTTAATGACAATGGAATTTCAATTTAATTTTATAACAGATACTTGTTACAGTTCAACAGGTTCTATATTATATTGTTATGCCCCATTATATTGCCATTTTTGTTTCAAAATGCTGGCAAAATATTATTGCCTCCTTTAAGATAGTACTAAGAGTCACAAAACAAAGATGCATTGAAGCAAAATGAGCCATATGTACTGTACATGTTGCAAATATAACCTAAAAACATCTTCCCCAACAGCTTTCTTTGGGCCCTAATAAGATGAATTAAGAAATGAGGATAGTTTTTAAGAAGACATTGGATAACCATTTGTTTGAAGTGGTGCTTCCTGCCTAAGCAGGGGGTTGGACTAGAAGACATTCAAAGTCCTTTCGTATTTCTATGGAGTTTACATTTGCTTGCAGCCATTAACTTATGGAAAATTTGTATTCCTTCCGAGATCAAAATTAAATTGTGCTTTAATATGTTTACCTTTAATAAATGCTGCCTTACAAATAACAACAAACCTTCTTGATCCACTAATAGCAGCCGTGGGTTGTAGACGGTATGCCCCGGTACGGGCATACCAGAGCCAGCCCAGAGCACCGGATACCATTCTGGTACGGTGCTCTGGAGGACCCACCTGCCCGCCTGAGCTCTTTACCTGTGTTTTAAGGCTTCTGTGCTTCTGCACATGCACCTAGTGTGTACAGTGCCTGCGTGACGCTCCACGGAGCAGCTGGAGCATCACAGAGCATCATGGAGGTGCTAAAACACATGTGTGTGCTACACGTATGTACGCCCACTCCAACCGTACTGGTTGGAAAGGGATTTGAAACCCACGACTGACTAATAACCTTAATATTATTTTACAAAATAATACTCTGTGGGCTTTGCATAGACCCTTTCTTTCAAATGTTTTTTCTAACATTTATAGCCTAATTTTGTAGAAATTATGTGTGCTAATTCCACAGTTCCCACTACTTCCTAAATCACCATCCTGGGTTACAAAAAGGGATTAATAATACACCCTTGCAAGCTTCTTTTAAAAGTTTCAGATCACATACGTGTAAATTATTTTGATAAATCAAAAACGACAAATGCTGCTAAAGTGTTGCAATGCAACTCCTAAATATTATTTCCAAATAGTAACAATATACAAATAGTAACAATATACAGATGTGCTGATTCCCACTAATACAACTGACAAAATTGGGCTTGAAGTTGAGAAGTCTTTTCAATAGATTGTAAGTGAATGGTGTAAAATAAATAGGAAACACTCTTTAGTAAGAGCCTTACTTTTTTCTTTACTACTACATTCTCATAAATCTAATTTAGAACTAATCTTGCATGAAGGCTAAGTAAAATGTAATATCAACTCAATGAATGTGATTAGTTATGCATTAATCCTTAACCTCCATTACTGACAAAAAGCAGCATCATAACATTTACCAAAAACTTTGATTTAAGCAAGAGTTAATAGTTACAAAAATTGCAAATTCATTAATGCATTGAAAGTAGGGATTTGCTTTTGCAAATTTAAGCTGCTCCTTTTAATTTACATTTTCCTTAAACACATTCCGTAATATCTCATACTGTGATCACATGCAAGTTAGACTATATACAAAGACTGAAAATAAATATTATAGGATAGAAGGTGCCAGTGTCATTGTTCCACAATTCCTTCTCAATCTCTTTATTTCTAAAGAAAGATAGATGTTGTTTCTCCCAAATTCTACACTATAAAGTTAAATGCCAGACAATTTTATTTATAAACTTTTTGTGTTAATTGGTATTGAGAAGTCTCTTCCGGTGGTACCTATTTACCAATAACCAACTCAGCATTTAATATCTATCTTATATCACCCTTCTACCATCTATAAACACTGCTTCTAACATTAGTAACTAGAACAACAATTTGCATATGGATTCCTGAATTTCATTGTTATTCAAACTCATTTTGGTAAACCATTAAGTTTGAAAGACCAACAGGCACTAATAGGCAACAGAGGTTTAATCTGTAGAATGTTGTCACATTGTTAAATTATCTTTTATTTTTAAAAACCTAACAAATAAAAATAATGTAACATAAAACCACTAACCCAAAATAAAAGCATTTTTTAAAAATTTAAAAAAGGTGTTAAGAGCCATTTAAAAAGCCAATTTAGTTAGATGTGTCTTAACAGCTTATCCAAATAGCAATTGAGCTATTTGCAGGGAAGTTAAACCAATGACGGTAATTTACAATTTGTATTCTTTTTTGCTGCAGAAAAAAAGTCTTTAACTGATGAACCAAAATATCTGGAGACAGTTAAAACCAAGTTTCTTTTTGTGGCATGCCCAACTGGGCTCTTATCAAAATAATTCAGTGGAGTCCTAAAACAAACCCATGTGACCAGGGGTGGGATTCTATTGGTTCGGACTCGTTCGCTCGAACCGGTTCGCTCCCACGATCAGCTGCACCCGCCCCTATGCTTATCCTACCTTTATTTTCTCAGCTGAGTTGCATGGCGGAGTGAATTGCCGCGCCTCAGCTGTTTTCCTTCCCAAGCAACAATCCGGAAGGTAAGAATTCTTTGAACTTTGCATTCAAGTGCAACACACGTCCTGGCACGTGCATGCCCAAAGTGAACTGGTTGTTAAACCGGTAAGATCGCCCCCCCCCTGCATGTGACATGTTACACACTGTCGATTTGTTACATGAGAATGATGAAAGAAAACATTGTAAACTGGAATGTCTTTGACGAAACATTTTGGAATGCTCTCACTACGGTGCCCAGCTCTATATTCTTCTATGTTAGTAGAATACTAGTTTCAGATAGTACCTATCTCCCTGTCAGATTTGATCTGGTAAAGTTAGCATGCTCCAGTTCCAATTGATTAAGCAATGCCATCTACCAGGACCATCGAAATACACATTCTCTTTAGCCTTACAGCTTAAGAAGGTAGTCGCTAAAATTATCTTCCCCACAAAACCTTCACCAAAAAAAAAATGGAGGGAACTTTGGTGAGCCTGAATAAATGTTATTCCACTTGAAGTGTTTTAAGCAAATTTAAGTTTATACAGGAGCACTGTCATTCTCTCCAATTTTTTTTGTTCTTTTTGGTACACTGAAACATAAAACAAGCAAGTGCTTCCAACAAAGAAAGGCAGCTTTGTGCGAAAAACTTCAGTATGACTGTAATTCATATTACATAACTGGCATCCACATATTCTCCAATTTCTAAGTAAACAAATTATATAACAAGAGCCCTCAAAATGAATCATACTCTAAATGTTCACTAAAGCATCGAATATAAAACTTGAAATAATGTAATTTACATCTCCATTAAGAAAGTAACACA